TAGAATTTTTGTTGCAACTGAGGTAGGCTATTGCTGTCCCCAAAAACTTTACACAGAATTTCACAGATATCTTTAGGACTTTTCTTTATGGCCTCCCCCCTGCCCAAAATCTCCTTCCGGGCTTTCCCAGAGAGGTGTTCAAGTAAGAATGAGGCTTTCTCACTATCCCCTAGACCCTTGGATTCCATAATCATTTGGGCATCTTCGACCCATTCTTCCGCCGAAGCTTCATGATTCGACATAGGTCTCCCCCCAAACCTTTCCAACTTTCTACCTGTGGACAAATACACTAACTTAGATGACCCTTGACTAACAGTTGATTCTGAGTTGGCAGGTGAGACAGGTGGAATTACATCAACCACATCAGCATTTCCCTGCATGGTTTTAAGATGGTCTACCTCACTTTTTAAGGCTTGAGCTTGAGCAGCTGCCACTGACAATTCAGCATCTTTCGCTTCCATCGCTACCTTCATGCCTTCCAAGAGAATTTCCACCTCCGCCAACCATTGTTCCAAGTCTTCTGCCATTGCTCTAAAGTAACACGTTGATCACTGCAACCGGGGTCTCTGGATAGAAAATCCTGCCGACTACGCCAAATGTAAACAGGAAAAAGATGACAACACCATTGCCGATCTTAAATTCTTTTATTTTCCAATCAGAAAAAAAAAACCCGGCTTTGCAGCTCCTGAGAAATACGTTCACAATAACCAAACAGTACGATCACTCTACCCAGTGATGGCACTTCAAAGTGCAAATTTCCTAAATATTTTATAATCTTGATAGTTTTATAACTTTAGTAGCTAGCTTTGGTAATTTAGTTTTACTGAACCGCGTAAAAGAGAAAGATAAAAAGAAAGACGATGTAGTATGGAAGGCAATTATCGCCTTCGAAAATAAATTTACAATTGTACGTGAATCACCATGTTACACCAAGTTCATTAAAGCCGGAGTGATATTATATAATATATGATATTATATTTAATATTCACTGTCCCATTTTAATTTCATGTTTTAAATCTGTTTCAAAATTTCAGCATGCGAAGCGTGACTGTTGTGTCAGGCCTAGGGGCCTAGTCTGGGGGAGGGGGGGCTAGCAGGTAGGACCTAACTCAGCTTGTAACTAGGCCAACTAGTTTAACCTCTTTTGCTCTAGCCTTTGATAGGAATGTACCTATTTACCACTGGTACTACTATAGAAGGGGGTACTAGCTGCTGTTGTTGTAGTACATTTGATAACAAACATACAAGAAGCTCACAGTTAGTTACAGTAGCCTACATCCCATAAATCGGTAAGATTTCATAGGCCTACCGTAGGTAAACATATGTAAAGAACAGTACAGTAAAGGTAATAGAATACTCGAACGTCGCGACATTGGGAAGTGCCTGCTATTGTTCGTATCAAACTCGAGTCGAATCAATCCGAGACGACCCGAGTGGAGTTTCATGCAAATGTTTCGTACGGAAAAAATCGCGGGCGGGCGAGCGACGGAATAGAAGTTTACAAAAGTCTTACGCCTGGAAATTTGTTTAAATTGCCATATCTATGAGAGATGTGTTTGTATCGGATGCAGTTGAGATTATGACTCGATCTGCTAGCATTTACTTATTGTGACTTATAACTACCCTGATGATAATTTTTAATGGACATTTTCTTTCAGATTTTTGTAAGAGTGTAACTCTGATAAATGCTACGCCACGCTTCGGTAGCAGACAAACTCTTCTCAGGTGTTTGGACACTAGTGAATATTACGTACCTTCACAACTCGAAATCAATCGTTCTTACGATAATGGATATGGACAAAATTTACCAGCACCTGCAACGTTAAATTATACTGAAGGTGTTGGCAGTGTGATGGTACGCTGGGGCGAGGATCTAGGTGCCAGCAGGGCTGGAGTGTTTGAGTGCTCGGCGACTGGTAGCGATATTCGAGTGCAGACTATCAAGACAGCATCAAATGGTAAGACACCCAGTAACATGGTAATATACTTTATTCATTTTAATCATACAATTTCATTTATGCATGAAAATATTAAAATCATTATTTGGCTGAAGAAAAGTTTTGTTCCAAAATACAATAAAAATATTTCTAATTGTTTTCCAGTCTTTCATTTCTTACAAAATATAAACATGAAGATTAGCTAGGTAGTAAATTGTGTCAACGGCAATAAATTTTATTCTATTTAAAGTTCTATTTTAAGTTCTATATAATGTCCATCCATTCAGTGTGGTGCTTCTAACTTTATACTCTGTGCAATGTTCCTTCAATACTTACAATGTGTCTGGTGCAAGTAAAAATAAAGTAAAGGGCATATTATGTAATATAATTATATAATTTAATAGTTCCCGAGTCACATGTGTTTTGTTTGCTCTTAGGAATTGTTTTTCCAATGAAGTTATCGATGACAGTCAACAAAGGTGATCGCGTTGATGTTGTGATGAGAATGACTGGACAAACATTTGATCAAATTGTATGGAGACGCAACAATGTCGAACTGCATCCCTCCAAGATCAACGTTAGCCTGGCCATGCAACAGACGTACACTATCTTAAGTGCCGATGTTATCGATTCTGGTGTTTATGAAGCCTACCCAAACAACAGTCGCTCTCTAGGAGCATTAACTCTACTTATTGTCAGAGGTAAAAGCTTTCATAGACGTTAATGTTTTAAAAAAAAAATGTGTACATACGCCGCAGTTCTATTTCATGATTAACAATGGCGTGAGAGTTAGCGATCGTACAACGTCGACGAGAGCAGGGAGTTGTTATCAATTCTCTGACGAGATGTAACTCCGTCCTGGAGGATAGTGTATCATTTCCCTATAAGTTAAACACAATGCCTGTTTATTCATGGATGTGGTTTAATTTAGATAAATAATATTCTGTGAAATGAAAGTTTCTGGTTTTATGTTATCTAAATGTATGCTCTGGGGCAGAATTTGGCCTTCGATGTGTACAATAGGCGTTTACATGTTTTGAACTTTAGATTGTTCAACTTTCTGGTACAACTAATTTTTAAATAAATAATAATAAATAAATGTTTCATTGAAATTGACTTTAGCATTTCTTATAGCTTGCTGTAATGCTAACAAGTACAAGCAATGATTGAAACAGGGAACAGTGAAATTTAACTGTTCCCTGGATTAAACCATATCCTAAAACATAGAAGCATACTCGATTTTTCGCTGTATGACATCTGGCAAAATTACAAATATTAGGCAAAGTGGGCTACTCTCATATCATATTTCTTATGTGTAATTAGAATGCGAAGATGGAAAATGGAATCCCCCATTGTGCGATCAGACATGCAACGATTGTTCGAATGGAGGTGTATGTGATCATGCTACAGGAACGTGTATTTGTCCGCCAGGATTCCGAGGGGTTAACTGTGAGATTGGTGAGTAATCGGTTTTATACGATCGAAATCACAATTGAGGAGGAATAGCATTATTATTTTCATAGTTAGTCCTGTGTGGCCTCATTACAGCAAACTAATGATATAATATAAAAAAAAACTCTAAACCGTCTTGCGATAATTTCATGTAAATTTCGAATAGTGCAATGATAAATTAAAACTTAACTTCTTGCTTTGTTTTCCGTGACATTAAATCAGTTTATGTAAGTTATGTGAATTGAGATCCAGCAAGCTAAAAATAATGCACAGAAGAGGGCGTATCTTTTCTCTGGCAGTTTGATCACGTGCAATATTAATTAGCGTTATATTAAACTAGTGACATCAGACACGTTGAAAAAGCGAAAGACGCTTAGATGCTACCAGACGCTTGAATCACCTTAATGTCTATTGGGTGTGACGTTCACCATGTATGCAAAAAGTCTCGAGTTCAATTTTAGAAAACCTCCGAGACTTAGAGATAAAATACATTCAAAACATCATAAAATCAAACAAAAACACATACAAATCAAACGATCAATTATATATAAATTGCAATGAGTAAAGAGAAAAAAAAAAGTTAAGAGCAGTTGTCTGTAAAAATCAAAGAAATTTCAAAAATAGTGGCACACTCAAAAAATGGATTTCTTTCAAATTTTGAACATGGCTATACCTTTCTTAAAAGAAATCAAATATGAAGTTTTATTCACTTTGTGCGTATATTTCCATGGCAACGGGTAAATTTGTATTTTTTGCAATTTGTTTTCAATGTTAATAATTTGATACAATATTTCTGATATCCTTATGGTTTATTCATCAAAAATAATAAGTGTGTGTATAAGGTCAATACTTGGGTATCTGTTGCATATTTTTAAATATTTTTTTTGGATTTCGTAGTTGGGAGATACCATGTTTTTAAAAGGGGGTATTTTTTTTTTTTTTTTTTCAAATTATGAAAACTTCCAAACTTTAATTGCTCATAAACCTCAAAGTGGTGCTTTTTTAGAACTGATTTTCTACAAATAGATAGTTCTAATGCTCTCTTAGAGAATTCCAGTTTAAAAAATGTGGGTATTTAAAACCAGAACCTTGCAGGCGTCAACGTTCCTATGCATGATACATGACTTAAAAAGTATATAGGCCCTATATATATATATACGTGTATATATATATACGTACATATATATACGTATACACGTGTATATATACGTATACACGTATATATATATATACGTATACATATATATACGTATACATGTATATATATATATGTATATACGCGCGTGTGTACATATATACGCGTGTACATACATACGCGTGTGTATATATATACGCATGTATATTATACGTATATATACGTATATATGTATACGTGTATACATATATACGTATATATTTTTATTTTATTTTAGCAAATTTCTTTGAAAAAATTTCGTAGGCATAGGGCCTAGGCCTAGCTAGGTATACAGTAATTTCATTTTACAGTAGTTTTTAAGGCGAGTTTATAATAATTTCACATACATACCAATTTCTGTCAGTGGTGTCACCAGTTGGACACAGCACCTTAACCTGCCTGGGAATGCCAGTCTCTGAATAACACCTTCTCCTCCCTAACCACATCATGCAACACCCCTATCCCTTCTTGTCGGGACAAGTCAGGAATCATCGTGAAAAAATATAAACCTAATATGTGGTCGGGGTAGGGGTGGTGCCAGGATTCGCCCGACAAGAAGCCCTATGTCCCAGATGGTGGTCCGATTACAGCATTCAGAGAATATCGAGCAGATTTGTAGGAAAATGAATATCTTGCCACATTTTTGTTGCATTGCAGTGTTCCAAACACAAGCCCAGAACAGCGACGATGAAAGATATAATAGTTTCATGGCTAAAGAGTGTGCTTCCTAAGCTTACATCTGTATATTTAAGACACAACAATGCTGGCTGCTACCACTGTACAACTACACTACTTGCAACAAAAGAAATTGCTGAAAAGACGAGGGTAAATGTGCAAATTTATGCAAAGGAAGTTCATGTCATTGTAGATGGTTTTAAAAACAAGAAACATGCTTTAGAATCAGATATACAGTAAAAGGTTGTTCCTACATTCTCAAATGTTACAACATATGAAGAACTGCAAGTGGGATGGTATAAGCCTTCTTAATAATTTTGAATTTACAACTACAGGCAGGGGCGGATCCAGAGATATCCAAGAAAAGGGAGGGGGGCCCGAAAGTCGGGCTGATCGAGACAACACTGACCTAGGGGTCCGCGAAATTTTTGTGTTCTAGACGCCCAAAAATACCATTTGAGGTGTCTGGGCTATAATTTTTTATTTTCTTTATTTTTTTTCTTTTATTTACCTCCCAAAAAAAAGGTGGGGGGGGGGCCGCTGGGCCGGCCATCTTCCCCTAAATCCGCCCCTGACAGGAGTTTGAGTATGGAGGGCATATGACATTTGACCTGGTTCAGAAAGTGGAAAACAAATTTCAAAGAAACCATAGTGTCTTTTGGTGTGCATGAACCACCAAAATACAATGGCATTTTTAAAGAAATGATCCCTGCGAAGGTGTCTAAATCAACCTGTTCGCCAACATCTACCAGGTCTGTGCACAAGGCCAACTTAGAAATGAAGGATACGTTTAATAATCATTTGTTTTTCTGTCCCGAAGATGGATTTATAAAGTCCTACATAAGCTTTTGTACACTAGAAAATCAGATAGTTACAGGAACACTTGAATACAGACCTGAGAATCAAACACTGTTGGACAAAGCAAAATTAGGTTATGCTAAAAGGCTTTCAACTGACACTTGCATATTCCCATGGTAGCATTTTTATCTACCAATGTCTAATCTTTCAATTAAATTTTCATTTGCTCCAAAAGCCATCAGTCGATTATTTTCTGCCATACAAGAAACATTACATTTATATTCATCAATATATATTTGCAATGGCCAAAAAAATCATTAAAAAAATTAAACAATAGATAAATGTAGCATAGTAGTACAAATGGAGGAATTGTTGGCAGAAGGCGGATAGACATTTAGAGAATATGAAAGAAAGGTTTGAAACGTTCAGTTCTACAAAGAGGCGGTAAGAAGGCTGATTGTTGTATTCCTAAGCGAGATAGATATTTAAGAATGTGATCATAAGACTGAACAATTGGAAAAAAAAAATGAATGGAGTGAAACATTTAAATCTTGTGTTGTACCATGTATTACCATATTGAGCAAATAAGTGTGGATATGAAGAATAGAAGTTTACTGAAAAG